ATTTGACAGACAGAGATCACAAGTAGGCAGAGAGGCAGGCAGAGAGAGAGAGAGGAGGAAGCAGGCTCCCTGCTAAGCAGAGATCCTGATTCGGGGCTCGATCTCAGGACCCTGGGATCATGACCTGAGCCGAAGACAGAGGCTTTAACCCACTGAGCCACCCAAGTGCCCCAGAAAATAAGTAAAATCTTTAAAAAGATGACATAAAAATTTTATTGACCATTGTTATATATCCTAAACATATAGTTTTTTTGTAACTATGTATATTTTTAAGTTACCTCTAGTTGAGGGGTTTTTGGGTGACTCAGTTGATGAAGCATCTGACTCTTGATTTGGCTTAGGTCATGATCTCAGGGTTGTGAAATCAAGCCCTGCATTGGGCTCCACTCTGGTAAAGCCTGCTTAAGATTCTCTCCCTCTCCCCCTGCCCCCTCCCCACCCACCAAAAAAAATTACCTCTGATTGAAGCAGCTTTATAATATTAAGGAAATTTTAAGACTATTACATTTTAATTCCACTATTCTAACGTACTTGTTTTTATTTCACCCAATGTCTCTATAATTTTATTTAGTTGTGATTATAATACATATACAATTTTGGGATCTGCTGTTTTAACCTCATAAACACTTTTCCATGTTGCCACATAAACTTCCTATTATCATTTTAAGTATCTGCATAATATGCTTTTAAGTTACCATAATTTTTTCATTACCCTATCACTGAGATTGCTTCCAAATTTTTGCTATTATATTTGGTATTCTAGCAAATATCATTTTACAGGTACTTTTCTATACAGAAATTCTCTGTTCTTTTGAGTTACTTCATTACAATAATTTCCCAGAAGCACAACTCATAGGTCAAACAGTATGAACCATTTTTTTCCTTTGGCGGTAATGGCAATAAATACGTGATTATTTCTGTTGGTTATTTGTCTCTGTGCTTAAATTCTATTGAAATTGTATTTATTACTTATAAACCTGAATGATTCTTACTGCTGTCTGTTGGGTTTTTGTATATGTGAATCAGACTCTTCTAATATAAAGAAATGCCATAAAGCAGCAGGTCTGAAGGAAGTCCCCATAAATACAGTAGGAACGTTTTATAGGTTTCTGTGGGGATTCTGTAACTATACAGTGGAAAATCTGTTCTTCAGGGGCTTAGGGTATAATAGTCCCCTCACTTAGCAGTTAAGAAAATGAAGTAATATAAAGAACAGTGTAAGGAAGTTACAGCAATTTAAGAAATAACTAAATCTATTAAATAGGAAGAAGCAAGTTAAACTAACAGTTTAAAACAAATGCTTAAAGCTAAAGACCATATATACCCTTATTGTCTCAAAGCTTGATTTTTTTTTTTTACAGGGAAATGGATTGTTCTGTTTTCTTTCTTACATGCTGTAGAAATTTATAGATGAGAAACTTGTACCCAGCCTTAGAAATCTTATTTTTTAAATAAACTACTTGTTGCCTTTAATACCATAACTGTCATTTAATAATACTCTATGTATTCATATATATAAAGTATAAAATATAATTGCCAGCTCCAAGTTACATATGTGATTGCTCACATATCTTAAAATAAGTCAAAACAAAAATCTGTGTGTATGTGTTTTTTTAAGGGTTTATTTACCTTTTTTTTTTTTTTTTTTACTTATTTATTTGACAGAGATCACAAGTAGACAGAGAGGCAGGTAGAGAGAGAGGAGGAAGCAGGCTCCCCGCTGAGCAGAGAGCCCGATATGGGGCTCGATTCTGGGACCCTGAGATCATGACCTGAGCTGAAGGCAGAGGTTTAACCCACTGAGCCACCCAAGCACCCCAAGAGTTTATTTATTTGAGAGAGGGCATGAGCAGAGGCAAGGAGGGACAGAGGGAGAAGCAGACTCCCCGCTGAACAGGGAACCTGATAGAAACAGGGCTCGATCCCAGGACCCTGAGATCATGACCTGAGCCAAAGGCAGAGGCTTTAACCCACTGAGCCACCCAGGCGCCCCAGTTTTGATCCTTCTTAAAAGAAAGCAGTTTCTCACCTTTTGGTGGCGTATTTATAGCCAGGCCACTGGAATACACCCTCTTATATCCTGGTTGCATAAACATGACTTAAAATAGTACGAAGCTTATCATCATTCCACCCAGAGCAACTCCTTATTCTGTGTTAGTTATCCTCCACCACCACACACACATACACACACACACACACACACACACACACACACACACACTTTCCTTGAAATCCCGTTTAAGACCTTAGAATTATTCTTGACTCTATTCTTCTTTCTCTCTCCCTGCAGCTAGTTAACCTCCAGGTCACAGATACAATTTTTGTCACAGTGGCTCCCCCCTCTATTCTGCCTTTCTGTTTGCCGTCGCCACCATCTTAGTCCTGGGACTCATTACTCCTAGACCACTGCAATAGGCTTCTCATTGGTCTCCCTTCCACCAGTCCCTCCCCACTTCATTTTATCTCATACATTACTAAACTGTTCACACTTAAGGTCCTTTGAAATCTAACCATTACCCAGCTGTCAGCTTCCTAATGAAACATACAAATTGCCCACCTCCTTTCTCCCTAAGGTGAGGCCAAACTTACCTCCCTCTCAAGCCTTCCTGTCTGCCCCAAGCTAACATTAATTGGCTATGTTTGCATACATCAGACGCTAATCAAGTAGGCTATATTGTATTGTCATTTACATATTATCATTGATAATATTAGTGTATTATCATTACATTGTTAATCTGCCTGCATCAGGATCATATAAAACCCATTATGGCCAGGGATTAAGTCTTAAATCTCTCAGGATCCCCCACTGTCTTAGTAGACAGTAATAGACAGTAATAGAATGTGAAGTAATGGTCCAGAAGATAGACTTTAAAGTGAAACAAACCTGGGTTTGAATTCTGGTTCTGTCACTTAAAGCTATATGACCTTGAGTAAGTTACTAAATTTCTGTTTCCTGTTATGAAAATGAGCATGATTATAACCCCCTCATAGGGTTTTTGAAAGGATTAAGTAAGACATATATGTGTATAATATGGTAAGCTCAATGCCTAGCAACAAAATAAATAATAGTAGTAATTATCATTATAACAATTATGATCATCCTAAGTGCTCCACCATTATGATGCATGTCAAGAATTTGGTATTTCACCCTTTTTTCATCAGTGAGATAGCTACAAATATATGAAGATAACAATGGGAGAGATTTTTCTTACAATTATCAATAGGATATGTGGAGCTTGAATTTTGGATATGTGGTTTGTTGTTTAGAAAAATAGTTTATTCCAGGAAATTACATCATTCATTTATAACCTTACCTATTGCAAAAAAGGAAATACAAATTTTGTAAAAACAAACCCCAAAAAACCCCACCTTTTTTGTATAAAGATGTTGCTTTAAAACATTTTAGCAGCAGAAAATAATATCTTCTTGCATAGGAAGTATAAATTCTGTAACTGAAAATACTTACAGAAAGTGCCAGATCTTGGAAAGTTGACCTTCTTATATACTATATCAACTATTCTATTATTTAAATGTTAAAGAATCCATTTACAGAAATTAAGACGACCAGTAAGAAAAATCTAAAGTTACTTAAAAAACTGAGGATACCAAAAAAATAATCCAGTCAATAAGTGGGCAGAAGACATGAGCAGACACTTCTCCAAAGACATACAAATGGCTTACAGACACATGAAAAAATGTTCAGCATCACTAGCCATCAGGGAAATACAAATCAAAACCACAATGAGATACCACCTTACACCAGTTAGAATGGCAAAAATGAACAAGACAGGAAAGAACAAATGTTGGCAAGGATGTGGAGAAAGGGGAACCCTCTTACATTGTTGGAGGAAATGCAAGCTATACTGCCACTCTGGAAAACAGTATGGAAAGACATTAAAAATAGAGATACCCCAATTTAAAAAAAAATCAACAACAACAATAACAAAAGAGCTACCCTACAACCCAGCAATTGCACTACTAGGGATTTATCCCAAAGATACAGATGTAGTGAAAAGAAGGGGCACATGCACCCCAATGTTCATAGCAGCAATGTCCATAATAGCCAAACCGTGGAAGGAGCTGAGATGTCCTTCAACAGATGAAATGAATAAAGATGATGTGGTTCATATATACAATGGAATATTACTCAGCCATCAAAAAGGATGAATACCCACCATTTGCAGCATCATGGATGGAACTGGAAGGGATTATGCTAAGTGAAGTAAGTCAAGCAGAGAAGGACAATTACATATGGTTTCACTCATATGTGGAACATATGGAATAGCACAGAGAACAATAGGGGAAGGGAGGGAAAACTGGGAAGAAATCAGAGAAGGACACAAACCATGAAAGACCCTGGATTCCAGGAAACAAACTGAGGGTTTCAGAGGGAAAGGGATGGGGGAATGGGGTAACCAGGTAATGGGTATTAAAGAGGGCACGTGTTGTAATGAGCACTAGGCTTTATATGAATCATTGAACACTCCATCAAAAACTAATGATGTACTATATGTTGGCTAACTGAACATAATAAAAAAATGAGAGTAAGTACAAAATAATTTTAAACTTTCATCTCTATGATAGTGAAGTATTAGAATATAAGTATTGTAAAAGGAGATTTTAAAACTATTAAAAAGAATGATGTATTCATAAACGAACAAAAAGGCAAATAAATATAGCCTTAGAGTAAAATACAGCAAACCATACTAGCACCCAAATAATCACACACCATAGTGCTCCTGGGACATGGCTTCAGCAATCATTTCCAAAAGGTTGTTGGGCTTGCAACCCAGTCACATTTTAACAGAAGATCTGTAGGAGTTCTAGGGTTGTACCAGCACTATCAGAAGAAACATCTGACACAAAATATATTCATTCAACATGGAATTAGTCTGTATCATTTGCCTTTGATTATTCTAGAAAGAAAGATGTATCCCTTGTCACGCTTTTTTTTGCCTTTGTTATGAAGCAGGTTTTACAACCTTTTCATTTTTTGGTAGGGATCACATGCAGTGGTCCGAAGAAGAAGAAGCAGCAGCTGGGAAAAAAGTAGAGGAAAACTCAGCTGTGCGAGTCCTTCTGGAAGAACAAGGTAGGCAACTACGTGTTGTAGCTCCTGGAGCTTGGTTCTTCTGTTCGGCCTTCCAATGATTCAGTTCACACATTCTCTTCCTAATTGTGTCATTACTTTGGAGTATTCTATGCCAGTCCACTTGATCCATTTGGGAGAATTCCATTATTCTAGTGTAATGGGACCAAAGTTAGTGAAATAAGTTACAGATGACTCTTTAGTTGCTTTTTTGGTAATCATGGTATTACCTTTTTTTGGGAGATACACACAAGGAAATTTTAAAAATTTCCTCTTGCTGTACATCTTTTAGTCTGCTGTTGTGCGTTGTACTGGCAAGGAGTGTTTAACAAATTCAGAAACTTAGAGCAAAAATGGCAAAGTCATATCAAAATGTTGTGGCCCTTTAGGATAAACCTCAAGTTTCATAAGGATTCAAAGTACTTTTCTTAAAGGCCTTTTGATACTCCGGGTTTAATTGAGGTAAGACCTTGCCAACCTTCAAAGCTGGCTTCTGAAGAAATGGGCTAATGCTACTATCACACACATACACACACAAAAACAAGCTTTGGTAAAGATGTAGAGAAATGAACCCTTTGGCACTGCGGACTTGGTAAACTTGTAAAATGATGCAACCTCTATGGAAAACAGTATGGAAGTGCCTCAGAAAATTAAAAATGGATCTAGTAATCCCACCTCTAGATATAGAGCCAAAAGGATTGAAAACAGGGTCTTTTTTTTTTTAATAGAGTTATTTATTTATTTATTTATTTATTTATTTATTTATTTATTTGACAGACAGAGATTACAAGTAGGCAGAGAGGCAGTCAGAGAGAGGAGGAAGCAGGCTCCTTGCTGAGCAGAGAGCCCGATGTGGGGCTCGATCCCAGGACCCTGGGATCATGACCTGAGCCGAAGGCAGAGGCTTTAACCCACTGAGCCACCGAGGTGCCCCTGAAAACAGGGTCTTAAAGATGTATTCACACACATGTTCATAGCAACACTAGTCACAATAGGCAAAAGGTAGAAGCAACCCAGATATCCTTTCACAGATAAATGTATAAACAAGATATGGTATATATGCACAATGGAGTATTAGCCTTGAGGAGGAAGAAAATCCTGTCATATTCCACAACATGGATGAACCTTGAGAATATTATGCTAAATGAAATAAGCCAGTCACAAACAAGGCAAAAAACTATACAATTCTACTTCTATGAGGTATCTAAAGTAGTCAAATTCATAGAAACAGAAAGTAGAATGGTGGTTACCAGGGGCTGTGGGGAGGAGGAAACACAGTTGTTGTTTAACAGAGAGAGTTTCAGATTTGCAAGATGAAAAAGTTCTGGACATCTGTTTCACAACAAAGTGAATATACTTAACACTTACTGGACTGTACACTAAAAAATGGTTAAGATGGCAAATTTTATGTTATGTGTTTTTTACCACATTTTTTCTTTTAAAGCATGCTAAAAAAAATTTGGTCTGTGTCCTTCTTACTGCCATAGCTAGGAATCCAGGTACACTTTGACCAACATGTACACTCTTGAGATAAGCTTTTCTACCTTGTTTCTCTTAAAATGATTTCTTCCTTAAAACAGATTGGTTCTTTTTTCTTTAAAAAAAGAAAAAAAAAGATTACTGAAGTACCAAACACAGAGAAATTTTCACAACTCGTAAATGAATTGTCACAAAACTCGATAAGTTTTCCCAACATCCACATCAAGAAACAAAATATTACTATTAACCCAGAAACTTCCTGATTTTCTGTCCCAACAACAGTACTTCCCCCAACCCCTCTGACCCCACGAAGAGCAAGTATTATTCTGGCTTCTAATACCCTAGGTTAGTTTTACCAGAACAGCTTGGTTCTGGTCATCCTCATTTCTTCATCACTCTTGTAGCAATATCAGTCTACCTACTAGATAGAGCGAGTGTCCAAAAACAATGGCCAGGAGCCAAATCCAGCCAACTGCCTGTTTTTATAAAGTTTCTTTGGAACACAGACATACTCATTTGTGTACATATTGTCTGTGGCTGCTTTTAAGCTCTATGTACACAGTCGAGTAGTGATTAACAGACCATATATAGCCCACAAAGACCACTCACTATCTGGCCATTTACAGAAAAGTTTGCCAACCCCTGCAATAGAATTTTGTTTCCAGATTGATCCTGTGTTCTGAAACGACCCTGGGGAAGATGTTTGAAATCTTCTGTGCAAGCCCAGCATAGTGCAAATCTCTAATTTCACTGATAGCTAACTATTACTCTAGTGACTTCAGTCTATGATTGTGGCTAAGGTTTGCAAGCAGAGGTAGCTGTGGACACTGAGCTAAGGGGTCAGCTCTTAGGTAGCGAAGGGGGCACTTCTGCCCTGCCTTATCCTCTGCCACCATCGATGACTTACTTTATCCTCTGGCATTGTTTGCTTTTCATTAAAGCTAGTTCTCCTTCCTCATCCTAAGCATGAATGTGTCCTGGAGGGTGGACAGGAAAGAAAAGCACCTGAGCCACAATGGAACCATTCTATTTTTATGAGCGCCCGCCATGCAGTTCCAGAGTGGGATATGGCCAGGGAGTGTTGGCGCTGGATTGGAGGGTGCATACCAGTGGCTGTTCTGCTTACAGATCAGCCAACATTGCATTCCTTTGCAGGAACTCTGTCACACTGTTTCTGAGGAAGTATAATTTTGCTTCTTTGCCAGCAGCTGCACAGACATATTTTCCACATTACTCAAGCTTCTGCTAGTGGCCACCTGGATGTAACAGAAAGCGTCAAGCCTAAACAGAATTAAAAGTTATCAGTCATCTTAATTCATTTCCAGGAAGTTAAGAACTATCTCCAGTATATTTCCTGATATGAAAAACCAAGAATTTTTTCATGCTGTCTTGAATATTTGTTTAGGACGTAAATAGATGAGCAGTGCTGATAATGTTCCCTTAAAGTGCTCTGTACTGTACGAGGCTGCCTATTTTGGCCTATTTATGTTAACAATGAACTTGAGTGAAGCTAATGAGAAGGTTATTTTAGAGCCTTGGAAACCGCAGTAAAGGAAAATGACAGTTCCCACAGAACCATAGTGTGACTGAAATAGAAAGGTGGTGACTGGCCTCTCTCTACAGAAGCAGGAAAAGCAGGCTGGAGAGGACTGATGATACTGCTTTGAAGCATTTGGCTTGCTTATTAGCATGTCCAGTCACTTTTGAAGCAAGTGTTCTGGCTGCCTTACTTTACACGGAAGTAAAGATGACATTTTAAAATGGCTCAAAGTGATGCAGGATTCTACTGGGCCCCACCCCGCCCTGGAGCATGACTCAGTGCAGTGAACTTCACACATGTCAGGGAACCGGCACAAGGAGACCCCTCCATGCCGGTAACTTTGTGATCACGTGTAAGCGAGGGTGCTGTGAGGATGGCAGAGAAAGGGAACTTTTGTCCTGAGGAATATATTGAGTGACAGGACGTAACTGAGAGTACATACCTTCCCAACCACCCTTCCTGGCTCCTCCATTCATCGGAGACCATCATGATGGGCAGCAGAAGCCCTAGGCGAGGCTTCCGGTTTGATATTTAGCATCTCTGATGAATACAGGTCAAGGTGAATGGATCTGGTTAAAAGCTCAGCTAGCTGGGGCACCTGGGTGGCTCAGTCGTTGAGCGTCTGCCTTCGGCTCAGATCATGATCCCGGGATTCTGGGGTCGAGCCCCGCATCGGGCTCCCGGCTTGGTGGGAAGCCTGCTTCTCCCTCTCTCACTCCCCCTGCTTGTGTTCCCTCTCTCGCTGTGTCTCTCTGTCAAATAAATAAATACAATATTTAAAAAAAAAAAAAAAAAAGCTCAACTAGCAAACTTTGTGAAAACCCAAAGGAGGCTCTGACCTTGTTCTTATTCTGTGCCTGTTAGGAACCACCATCTCTTCTTATCCAGGAGAGTCCTCAGTCTTTGAAAGAGCACGTTTTCTCCCATCACAGAGCTTTCTATTTGCAGACATATAGCATAAACACTGTCCATTGATCTTATTTCACTGATTTTAATGCCCCTGGGAGGAAATACTGGTGGTTCAGCTATGCTAGCCTCCTCTCTAGCACACTCCTTTTGGTCTCTGTGTGTGTCACTCTCTCCTGTCGCTCCCATTTCTCATTTCTCACCTATTGTCTCAGATGTTGTGAGAACTGAAGTCAGGAAACACCCTCACAGTCTGAAAATAAGAGCTTAAGCATCACCAGTAGTACGGTGTTTTAATGTGAGATAGTTGACATTTCATTCCTGTGATTAAAATGTATAACATCCAAGCTCTCGTGAGCAATTTTTCTTTCACTTAGATGCCCAAATTAATCATTTTAATTCCACATTTCCTTTTGGTAATTTCCTTTAAATTTTATGATAGCTCATATTTCTTTTAAAAGCGGGTTAATTCAGAGAAATAAGGAAAATACATTTGGCAGTTTTGAGTTAACATGATTATATTTTATAATTTCCTAAAAACATCTCCAGTGTGTTATAGCTTAGCTGGTTATTTAGAAAATGTAATGAGTTTTTAAAACTCAGTAACAAAAGCAGCTGCTATTTTTTTTTCCACTTTACTTTAAAATATTCTTGCAAATAGTTACCTATCTAGGATGAGTTGTCTGTGTCCAGCAAAGTGGTAAAAGAATTCCACTGTACCTTACCTTGTGAATTCCTTTACCACTTGGAAGTGTCCTATGTAAAAAAAAAAAAAAAAATAGAGTAGTTGAAAGTTTTGTACACCAATAAATTTAGAGTACTTGTTTTTAAGTCAGCTTTGGTTGTTTAAAATTTCATGCATTACTGTTAGAAATATACTTTTCACAGGGCACCTGGCTGATTCAGTCAGTGGAGCATGTGACTCTTGATTTCAGGGTTGAAAGTTGGGTGCCCCACATTTGAGCCCCATGTTGGGTGTAGAGATTACTAAAAAATAATATCTTAAGTTATATACATATCACACACACACACACATATATATATACTTTTCATAAGAGTTTTCTTTTTTAAAAGGTTT